ATTCAGTTTGTTGATATATATGTTGTTTTGGTTGAAGTATGTGAATATAATATTGCCTTATATTGATACATAATTGGAGAAGGGAGGAGTATTTTAATAGGAAAACACTTAATATTATTCTGAAAATAGCTTCAACCTCAAGGACCCCCTGAAATGATCTCAGGTGCAGATCATACTTTTAAGATCTGCTTTAGCCTTTCTGCATTGGCACAGTCTTTTGGAACTTGTGTTCCACCAAGTGCTTTCAAGAACTTCTGGTTATCTCCATGCATTGATATGCTCTTTTATGTGTATTATTACTTCATTTTTGAGATATTGTGAAATTGAGACAGAGTTTTAGGTGGCTGTTTTTTTTGGAGGAGGAAGGGGGAGACAGGGCAGAATAACTTACTGTCTTGGGGAGGTGGTTGAAGTTCAAAGATGGAATTGGAAAGATAGGAAATTTTTATGGGATCCACTGGTTTTTCAGCCATTAGCCCATTCACAGAGCTTTAAATGTTGAGGTGTTCAGTACTTGTTGGGCAATGAGAGGAGCTACAATAGGAGATATTTGACAAAGGGGAGAGGTTGGTAATCCCTAATTCAAGACCTCCTGTCTTTAACCACTGAGGGAAGGTAAGGATTGAATATGGAAATGTGCAAAATGCTTATTATAAAGTGCAGCAATTTCATCAATTTTGTGAAATTAGATTTAGTTTTAGAATTATAGAAATAACAAATATAGCAAAATGGTACACAAGTTAAATTTAATAACTAACATCCAGTGAAAATAAACTGAACTCTCCTGTGAAGAGAAATTACACTATATTAAAATAGGTTTCCTATCAACAACATATTACATGTGGCCAAAAGTAGATTGAAAGTTCCTGATTGCTCTAAAAGAGACTATCCAATAGCCAAATCAAAGAATTTGGGGGTAGTGGTAGTAGTGGTAGTAGTAATAATAATAATAAAAACAATAATAATATTTGATCATGTTCCATGGCATTAATCTCAGAGAGAAATAAATATCATTATTGTATTATCATATGAAAGAAGCATGGCTTAGTAGAGAGTTCAGGGACTGGAGCTAAGAATAAACTTGGGTTCAGATGTCTCCGCTGACACCCATTTGCTTTGTAAACTTGGGCAAGTTACTTAACCTTTAACATATCTCAGGCAGCTCTCTATGACTTGTAAAAAGCTTACTATGTGTCAGATACTGTGCCTAATTAAACAGTGGGAACATAAATACAAGCAAAAAGAAAGACAGTCTTTACCTTCAAAGAGCTTTTATTCTAACAGAGAAAGACACATTGTAGGCTGGGGAAGAAAAGAGAACATACCTGTGCAGGAGCAAGGTGGAGAAATAGTCCAGTGAGTCGGAACATTAGCAGGCTTGTCTGGAATGGGTGCTTCTGCAAATGAAGTTTCTGGGGAGGAACTCCCTAGTTGGAGGAGGAGGCTGTAAGAGTAAAGCTGAGCTGGTGGCAGTTTGAGTTGCAGTTTGCTTTCAATAGGAAGATCCCTAGCTGATGAAATCATAGATCTTCCTGTAGTTGTATATTAGTCATTGTAAAAGGGAATTTTAATAATGAAGAGTTAATAATCTTAAATATATGTGTCAAACAATATGGCTTTTAAATTCATAAGGCTTAAATGAACAGTAATAGAAGCACACCTAGAAAAAAGATCAGTAGATTTCAGTAGTCCATTATCAACATACAGAAAATAATTTTTAAAAAGAGGTGATGATAGTGTAATAAACATATTTGGAGAAAGATAAATAGGAGTAATCAGTGAATATAATTTTTAAAAAGTTCACACTGATTTCTCATAACAGTAGATCATAAGTAACTGTTAACATTTATATAGCACTTTAAGGTTGCAAACCATTTTACATATATTATTTGATCTTCACAGAAATTCTGTGTGGTATGTCCCTTTATTCCCTCTTTACAGATGAGAAAAGAGGCCATATTGACTTGCCTAGGTGTCACACAGCTGGTAATTTATCTGATGCAGCATTTGAACTCTCCTGACTTTGAGTCTGGCACTTTATGTCCATTGAACATAAGCCTTTTGTTACCCCCGCCCCCAGGCAATTGGGGTTAAGTAACTCGCCCAGGGTCACACAGCTAGTGAGTATCATGTGTCAGAGGTGGGATTTGAACTTGGAGTCCTCTTGACTCCAAGGCTAGAGCTCTATCCACTGCGCCACCTAGCTGCCTCTTTTTGTTAATTTTTAAAGGCAGAAATTTTACAGTCTGTTTGCAGACATCACAATAAAATTAGAAAATGTAATGAAAACATCACAAAATGTAACTATGTGTTAACAAAAAACAATGTATTAAAACAGTTGGGCCCAAGAAAACAAAATATCTAAAAAATACTTGGAATGCTGAAATGGATCTTTGATTTCCTTGATGTGTAAATTTCCTCCAGTGATACTGAACCTAACCCTTTAGTGCTTGCTCATTCTGTTCAATTTTTGTCTATCCCCTCCTATAAATTTTCCACAAGAAGTCCATCCTGTATCTTTTTTACTCATGTATTTATTGGGCTTATTTTACTTTGGTTCACCCTCATAGTTCCTTGTTTGTAATTTGTGTGACCTGGCAAGTTTTTCTCCCTGCAATTTTGCTGCCTTCTGGGTGATTCTTACATCTATATAATAATACAAGAAGAACATAGCTATTAAAAAAATGAAGGCTTTGTTTCAGAGAGAGGGTTGGGATCATTAAAAGAATGAGATTCCCGAAGGCAACATAGCAGAGTCTTTTTCCCCTTGTTCAATTCAGGGTCCAAGTCCTTGTTCATTTGCAATAGCTGTTCAATGCCATTTCTATTACTTCCTCCACAGACACGTCTAGGACTGTGCTATTGAGAGTACAAGGGTAATAGCTCCATTGTCCTTGATGGCAAAAATGTTGTTAAAAAAATTCTTGAAGATATTTTCTGTTTTTTGTCTGCTTCTCTTCTTTCTTCCATTTTTAACAATAAATGCTAGTGGGATGACTATGCTTAATTGGGTCTCTTGCCAAGCTTTCTTTAATTTGCTTTTACCCTTCATAGCTTGGTTTGGGGAAATCCAATCCAATCTATTAGTATACTTAAATCAAAAAAGGAAGAGAAAAAATAGCCAAATAAGAAATGAAATAGATGTGACAGTGATTGAAAATAAGACATCTCTTGGGGAAAATAGAGCATGACTGACCTTTGCTAATAAAGTCCCCTCTAATTCTATCTAAATCCTTTGATCTTAAATTGGTAAATTTAAGGGAAAGGGATGAATAATTATAGTAATATAAAATGACCAGAATTGTTGTTGTTATTGAGTTGTTTTCAGTTGTGTTTGACTCTTTGTGACCCCATTTGAGGTTTTCTTGGCAAAGATACAGGAGTGGTTTGTATTTCCTTTTCCAGCTCATTTTACAGATGAGGAAACTGAGGCAAACAGGTGACTTGCCCAGAATCACAGAGCTAGTAAATGTCTGAGACTGGATTTGTGTTCAGTAAGATGAATCTTCCTGACTACAGGCCTGGTGCTCTATCTTCTGTACCGCTCAGCTACTTCAAAATTGATTTAGCAGGGATTAATTTAAATTAGAGGAAATAAGGCAAATCCTTAATGGCAGAATTTCAGAGTTAGGGACCTCAATTACATAGCTTAAATTTGTGTGTAATGGAAAAAGTCATTAAATGCTATGTCAAGAATGGTGCTAAGCACTTAGAGATGCAAGTAGAAAAATGAGACAGCCCTTAACTCCCAAGGAGCTTACTTTCTAATTAGGGAAGACAACACATTGGGAACAGGGAAGATGGAAAGGCCTAGTGGTCACTGGGGAGACCAATGGTAGGGCAAATGGTCCTCAACCAATAACTGTTGGGAAAGAAGTAGTGGACCCTTACTTCAGGTGGATGTAGTTTTGGGCAGGTAAGCAAGCTGTAGTTAGAAGTGTGGCCAATTTTTGGACTATATAGAGATAGATCCATCTATTAGATTCAGAAAGCACTGAATAATATTACATGTACATAATCAGTAGATAGACCATATATTTCACTGGTATCTACCATGTTAGGATACCTAGAGGAAGGTGATTGGATCCCCTGATGATGATTTCCAAGAAGATTTGAACTAGAGACAAATAGGATGAAAAGTCATGGATAGATTATAATGTGTTCCATTGGAGGTAATAATGCACATCACTGAGGCCTCAAATTCATCAAAATTACTAGTGTATATACATATTCATTAGTATATAGATAGTCATCTCAACTTAAAAAAAAAGAAATCTTCCATAAGTTTGTAAAGTGTTTGCAGATGGGTATGAAGTTTCTCCCAAAAAACCATTTTATAAATGGTGGTTATGTCTCATTATAGGCTAAATGGTGGTGAAGAAGTGACTTGACCTTGGATAATGAGGGAGGTAGGGATAGTATTGGGAACAGGAAGGTGAAGAGTAGGGATGGAGGTGCTTGAGGTGAAGATGATAATGAGGAGGAGGAGAGGAGTGGGCCTGGATCTAGAAGGGGGTTAGTAGAGGATTTCTTTGCTGCTTCTCTCTTTCATTTCCCTTTGGCACAGGGTCTGACGGCCATGGGCAGCCTGCATGAGAGGTTTACTTTATTGCTTCAATCAAGATTCTGTCTTTAGAAAGCCCAGGTTGATTTATTTATCAATAATACTACTTGTAACTGAATGTTACCTCTTAAGTCTTTAGTTTTCTTTTGTAGTCTGGTAACATTTTTCAGAGTGGAGTACATTTTAAAAAATTCTGTATTTTACTTTGTTGACTACAAATGGAGTGCCTCTTCTTAGTTGTAGACTACTTTCTCTGGTGACTTGGAAACTCATTTGCATTGATCTTTCTTGCATTTTTCCCATGTGAAGTCTTGGCATGTGACTCAGGGAAATTTTTTAAATTGGTTTTATGATTTTGTCCCAAAAGTACGTATTTTTGATACCACCTTTTATAAAATTATAATTAAAGCTAAAATATGTATTTTTTTTGTTTTAGGTGCAGAATGTGGAATAAATGGAGATGTCGAAAAACATCTTGAAATGGGCAAGAAATTATTGGCAGCTGGACAGTTAGCAGATGCCTTATCTCAGTTTCATGCTGCAGTAGGTTTGTATCTGAAAGCAGTCAAGAGTATTATTGGGGCCCTAATAGGAAGGGACTTCTCAATTACCTAATACTACTGATTTTATGAAGTTTAGACTTCACTTTGAAGCTGTTCAGAATAATTGTCTTTAACAACTTAGCACCTAGTGTAGTATCTTAGATGTGTTAGGCTTCTTCAATGTTTGATTAGATTCAAACTACTGTAATTAATAAAATTGGCTAATGAATGAAAAAGCATTTATTAAATACTATGTGCCAAACAGAATGGTGAATGCTGGGTATACAAACAGAAAAGGCAAATCAGTATCTATTCTCAGGAAGCTCACACTGAATCTCAAGAGACAAGGTCTAAATGATGGCAAGGCTTAGAAATCCTAAAGGCTTCATAGCTGGGCAGATGTCAAGGCCCAGAGGTCCTCTGGAAGGGTAGAGGAGGCAGAGCAGAAGGTAAGACCTTCAGGACCTTAGGCTGTGGTGTGACAGTAGATGGTCAGGCCTGCTACGTTTTCATCTGACTAGACAGAATAGAGTTGAAAAGTATTTTCTATAAGCCATCTGAACAATCTGCCCACACAAGTGCTTGGCAGCCTGGGAATGGCTGTGGAGCCTGGGGTGGGGGGTCATTTTCTTTAAAACATTTTAATATTGATATATTTTGTTTCTATGTAACCTTTATTTCCAAATATGTGCTATCCCTTTCCTAACCCAGTGAACCATAAGTTGTAACAAAGAAAAAGAGGGAAAAAAGTATTTCAGAAAAACTTAACCAACATTGTCACCTGAGTCTGACATCATATTTTTTGTTGTACACTCATAGCTTTTCATCTCTGCAGGGAAGGGAAGGAGATGCATTTTTCTCATCTCTTCTCTGGGGCCAAACTTGGTCATTATAATCATATAGCATTCAGTTTTGGTTTTTGTTGTTCTTCTTAACATTTACATTGGGCTAATTAACAATTTAATAAGAATATAATTTTAATAAGAACAAGGGTATAGTAATGCTTTATATAGGAATGACTCAAGTTATCTGACATCCTTAGAGAGTTACATATTTTATTTTTGAACATTTATTACATAACTGAAGTTTATCGCTTATCAGTGCCTTTTAAAAAATGTTTAATTTTTTTAGTGTTAATATTTCTTTGATCTACTACTCAATTCTTTTCATTTTAGAATATATTGAAAAAATGTAATCTCTCCTTGGTAACTCAGGTTCTTCATTATTAACATCACTGGTTGCATTGTGTCTTCAGGTGATTTTAAAGGATTATGGTAATGTTTGACCCTATGCTCAATATAAACTCAAGACTGCTGTTTTGAGTTCTTGTGTCCCCTTTAAAAAAATCTATTTCTTTTCAGGCTCCCATTTCCTTTGGTTGTCATTGTGTCCACTTGGGGACAGCATATTGTATCCTTTCAAAAGACTCTAGTTTGTTGTTTATAGTCACTTGGGCTGAGAAACCAGATAGTTTGTTACCATTATGTGTAAAGTAAGATTAAATTAATTTTGAGAGTCTAAGGACTTCTTATATTAATAAAATGCTTGAGCTTTAGTATATGGACTTTGTGATCTCTGGCTTGGTAGGTCACTGTCCTTTTCCTCTTAATTCTGGTTCTTAGCTATGTTCCAGATGAGATAGTTGGGTAAGTGATATTTAGATAAATGAGTTGTTAACATTTCAGCAAGAAATAAATGCACCCACTAGTTACTGTTCTTCCTAATCAGTAATCTAGGGAACATAGGAGGTACATTATAAAAGCTTTTATATTCATTCATTTATCCTATTGTAACCAACTGTGATAGCAAAAAAAAAAAAGGATAATTTTTAGTCTGGCAGTACTTATCTTTTTTTTCTTCCTTTTATTCTTCTTAGAAAAATTTAGGTTTTCACAAAATGATTTTGAATCAGAGTATAGTATCAATAGCCAAGAAAAATGCTGGACCAGCTATTAATTAACAACTTTGTTTCTTGATAAATTTATAACCTTCAGCTAATCACTTAACCTTTCTGAGCATCAGTTTCCTTGTAAGTCAGATGAGGATACTAATAAATACATACCTTGACTACCTAACAGGCTTGTCTTGAAGTTAAAAATGAGATAAATATATGTGAAACTACTTTGAAGATTATAAAGCATTATATAAAAAGAAGATATACAAATATTTTGACTGGACCCAGAATTAATTTTCCAAAAATTCTGGTTTGGATGAGGTCATAAGGTTTTGTTAAATGTATCCTCTCATATACTGAAGCATTTTAAGATGAGTTTTTGCTGTAATTGTTCAGTGACATGAGCAACTTCATTAATAGACATGTTGGATCCTGTGTCCTTAAAGGAGACTATGAAGCACATGATTATTGGGAATTCCTAAATTGATAGCTCATAGGCCTTGATAGCATATTTACTAAGAGCTGAAATTATTACCTGAACAATAAGCAAATCAAAACAGTTTCTCTATAATGAAAATAGAATCTTTTAACAATAATCCTAAAAAAAGTAAGGCATACAGTTATTCCTAGGAAAAACCATTTATATTTGTTGCCTCTGTTTCCTTTCTCCCCACTGACTTCTCATCCCTTGTAATGTCTCTTCTGACATAACTACTCAGTTGAAATTGCTGTCTCAAAGATTACTGACACTTTCTTAATTGCTAAATCTAATGGTTATTTTCTAAGTTCTTGTTCTTGACCTCTCTGTAGTATTTACGCTGTGACCTAGGAGTTAGGATGACCTAGGTTTAAACCTTGCCCCAGACACTGTTACTCTGGGCAAGTTTCAGAGCCTCTTAGTACCTCAGTTACCTCATCTCTAAAATAAAAGCGTTTAACTTGGTGGCCTCTGGTCTCTCTTTCAGCTATAAATCAATGATCCTATGACTATTTTCTCTTCCCAGTTTTTTTTTTTGGGTGGGCGGTTTTAGCATTACTCTTTAATCCTGGCGTACTGCACGTTGAAAAGTCATATGCTTTGGTCTTGTGTCTGCAGCAGCAACTTTACAATAAAATCTACAGGCCTGAGCACCAGACTTATTTCCAGGGAAGAGATAAAGTTGTTCCTAAAAAAAACCCAACCTCCAAAAATTTCATTTTAATTCCAATATGGCCCTATATAGAAAATAGCAGAGTGCTTGTAATGTGTTGAGTTTTTTTAAGTGCCCACCAAAGTTATACAGATATATACAAAAATTTGTGCAAAATTATTTACAGACATTCCGTGGTGCTCCTGTATCAGAAGCAAAAGACACTTTTATCAGAAGGGATTATGACTAGGCTGTGCCAAATTCAAAAGGATTGGTTCCCTTTGAGAGAGTCCAGAGCCCATTTGTTCAGATTGGGTCAGGGGTTAGGGATTTGCAGGGTCAGTGGCAAATCCGGTACGTCCCAAGTGGGCCAAGGAGGGGAAAAGCCTATAAATGGGCTGTAGAGAAATTATTATAGAGAAAGAATTTTAGAATGATTCATTGGTTATCCAAGTCAAGTCTCCCACTTTCTCCCTTTTTGTTGACTTTTGAACACCAGCAAGGCAATTCCAAAAGTAAATTATAAGGTTTCAGTCTGGGGCAGCAAGAAAGGATATAAGATGTAATTATTTTTTGAAGCAAAAATGAGACACATGAAGACAGAGTTGGAATAAAATACATAAGTAACACCACAAACAGCAATGAGGAGCGGAAATAGTCTTGCAACCAGGATTGTACTCTATTTTTTTTGGCTAGGCAATGGGGTTTAGTGACTTGCCCAGGGTCACCCAGCTAGTGAGTGTCATGTGTCTGAGGTTGGGTTTGAACTCAGGTCCTCTTGAATCCAGGCCGATGCTCTCTCCACTTCACTACCTAGCAGCCCCAGGACTATACTGTAGACAGACATCAACAAACAGTAAGAGCCCAAACTGCTAAAGAACAGCAGAGTCCAATTGTGGGTCTAATGCTTTCCTTCTAAAGGAAGGAATGTGTATGTGGGGGTAGTTGATATAGCTCAGAGCCTCAGCTGGTGATAGCAAAAAACTTGGATTATAAAGGCTGAGGAGACTACTTATACTGGCACCATTTAAAGAGGGTCAAATTCCTTGGAATGCTTTTGTGTTACCCCATTACCTGTGAACCTACTGTTTGAAAAACCACTAAAGCCTAATGCAAGACTTTGAAAGATTGTAATATATTCTCTGGAAACATTCAGCATTTGAAAACTCTTTGTGGTCCCTTCTACCCTGGGAGCTTTGAAATGTCCTTGGTTCAGTCCTTGGGGAGCAGAGATTGCTATATAGGCAGAATTTGCTCCAGGATGATTCTTGAAGATTGGGAAATAGGGAAATTCACTTCAAACTCAGTAATGAGGTCCTCATGTTTCACTGGTGTTTTGGGGAGGAGAAGGCTTTCTCCAGGAACCTTCTACCTTATTCTGGGCTTGATGACATCCTTGAACACTATGGGTATGGTTCTGCTATCCAGCATTGGTACACTCACTGTATAGCCACACAGAGCCTCATGGAGGGTGATCCTTGCTGGGTAAATCACATCAGACCCATATCTCTTAAACATGTTGTGTGGCTTGTCCTTTAAAACAAAGATGTCAGCTGGGGTGTTGGGTGAGGTTTGGTCCCCCTCCTTTGGGAAGTACTTTATTCACAACAGCCTTGTGAGGTAGGTAGTACAAGGATCGTAGATTTGGAGCCAAAAGGGATCTTAGAGGCCATCAGATCCAGCTCTCTCATTTTACAGTTGGAAACTGAGGCCCAAGGAGATTAAGTGACTATATTACCACCTAAGTGACCTCGAGTGTCAGAGGTGTGCTTTGGACAGGTCCTACCGTGCCACACTGTGATAGGCCTTCTGACCGCAGCTAAGGCATTACGTTCCATACTTTAGCTGGATGGCATCCAGAAGTGTGATCTGAATGTTGAGAGGCTTCAAGCTCATATCATGTGAGGATGAATAGACATAGTCATCTTGGAAGAGAAAAGATTTAGGAGGATAGTGATAGGTTTCTTAAGTATTTGAAATT